AATGGAAAAATATGAAGCATGTCAACGAACAGAAAAAAGTCACAACTCTAAAGAAAAGATATTTTACCAAACATAGCTCATATCAAAATACCAGCATTATCCACTGCTTTGAATTCTAAACAACAACCAATGCAACAAAGGATAATACATCGAAATTTAAGACACTGTATTTGTAATGAAAAAGGAAATTTGATTCTCTGCTTCTTAGGGAGCTGCTTTTCCTTTTTTTACTGAATGAAAATTTTCTCTTACCAGACTCCTAGGACTTGGTCCCGGGTATAACTGCCCTTTGTAAATACACCGAAATTCGGGAAAGAAACAATCAATGCATAATAGAATCACAGTTAACAAAAATAAACAGCATATATTTGAAAAAAAAAACATAAATATCCCGGAGGAATGCGATACTTATTCGAGCAATTTATACAGCGTCAGTGAAAGAACTTTGCTGCCGCATGAATTTTTTATGGTTACAGAAATCGCAAGCTACGAAAGAAGCTTTATTCATGTTGTCTCTCCTACATTTTTATGAAATCGAAAAATCAGAAAAATTCTGCTGAATGAAAAGAGGGTTTATTTCATTGCGACTTACAGCAAAGTGCAATAACATCAATTTGGTCGCACGCTACAAAAGCTAGACTTTTTACCAAAGCCAAAAATCCTCGAGGCAAAACCAATTAGTGTAATTAACCAATCTCCTTTTTCTTCAACACTGGTAAGAGATGGGGAGGAAAAGCGCGGGGAAGGGGTGGGGGAGGCGGGGAAGGGACAGGACGACGGGTGACAAGTAGTTATTCAAACACTATTCGTAAATTTTCGCGAAAGATTCGTAGATCTCAAAAGATTATAGCAGAAGAAAGGTAATGAAAACATTGTTAGAAAGAAGCGCTGTGATCCTGCCTTGACGTAGGAACTAGAACAGAGGCACGGACTGAGGGGGGTGGCGAGGGAGGAGGCTATACGAATCCATAATAAATCTATAATACCCTGCAAGAAACAAGGAGCTGATTTAAAGTTGGGAAGCCAATTTACAACACTTGAAACCTCACTCAGACAAAAAAAAAAAAAAAAACCCGGCACTTCTGAACGACTACGGGCTCCAATTCAACGCACTTGTCGAGCCCGACTGATTAAGTTCTTGGCGCTTCTCATCATTTTCTTCGCTTTTTCAGCAACTACTGATTCTGATTCCAATTCTTTAACGATTTCATCTTTATCTGGATCCTCATCACCACTCGCTAGGCGTTTTACCAGTTCTAATTCGAATTTGTACTTCTCCGGTTCCGGTTTAACACTTTCTTCTATTTCTTGCTGCTTCCTGAAATACATTGTCTGTAATTAATGAAAACAAAAGAGGATCAGGAAAGAAATTTTTACGGGAAAAAAAACCTCATTTTCAGTATATCCTAGAACAAACCGAATAATTTTGGAATGAATTTTACTAACAAATACAAACGCTAACGCAAAAATTCATTGAGGGAAAGCCGTGAACTAGCACTACGTGCAAGAAAATAATCATGAACTCCAAGGCATATTTTTAACTTCATTCGGACCCAAAAAAGATGGAAATCACTCAATTTTCAAAATTCTTCATTGTGTACGATATAATTTACCTGCAGGCTTCATTCAGATCCAAGCCAATCCATTCAGCTTCCTCTACCGGTATCACAAACTTCGCATATTTTCGTTTTATAAAATCATGCCTTTCCTGGTCGTCGGGATAATAAGTATCCTTTGCTAACGTCAGCAATATTTCACGCTTCAGCCTGTTTCCAAGTCTAAGCAATTTTAAGTTATAAAATAATGCAAAAATATAAGAGATACATAAAACATTATCATAGTAAGCTGGCAAAGAAGCATGTAATTTTCTGTTCCATGTATTGATATAATGTTTAAATTTCTAAATAAACGGGGAAATGAACCTGGAAGCAATATCAATTTCGGGAGTTTCCAGCAAATATGAATCCAGGCCAAAGTGCTTATCAATCAGGCGGCATGTGCGTTCGGTCACCACTATTTTCATGTGCTTATTTAAAATCTCGGAATATACAACAACATTTTTCAAGCGAGGAAAAAAGAAATGCGGTATCCAGTGTCGTGGCAAAATCTAAAAAAAAAGAGATTAAATGCTACGCAGACATAAAACAAGCCGTTCAAATTTTTGACCAAAACCCTAGGAAAAAATCAGTCTTTAATCCCTTCATTATTTCATCTTTGTTACTGAAAACCTTATTCTGGGAAGCAAACTACAGGCAAAAACAAACAGAACGTGAGATTCAAGTAACTTTCAGATAATAAATGCATGATTAGGACCAGAATCCCGGTCAGATAATGTTAAAAGTGGGGGGAATTGACCAGCTACTTCTGCAGTGGCCAGGAAGCGAATATGTATCAAATCTACAGCTGAAGTGCATACAATGAGGGCAATTTTTATCTGAATCTTCGCTTTTGAGCTACATGTATCCAGCTATCCGTACTGAGAAGGCTCATCACCTCATTTCGCTGTAGAATTTTAACTACAAGTTCACAACCAGTTACTTCGCCTATTATATAAAACAATACAAAAAAGTTAAAATATTTCCAGTACATCGGAAGGGCTAAAGTTTTCGGACAACCAACGCTACGAACCGGGACGTATCGGCTACAATTTTAAAGACAAACGAAAGATGTTTAAATCACAAGATTTTCACAAATC